TAATTTAACAAGCAGCCTATCGGCTGAGATAGCTCCACTGTTAGCAATGCACATTTCAATTAAAGAACAGAAGATATCATTAGAAAATGAACAGTATGCATAGTACCAAAAATGACAAAAATATACACCAAAATTAGAGAATTGAAGATATCAACATGAAATGAACAAACCTAAGAGAGGTCTACCCAAATAACATATACACCAAGTATCAAAGCATTCAGGCTTGTAGTTTTCAAGAAGAAGTCAAGAAAGTAAAACATTGACACGGTCGACGACAGACGGACAATCACTCATATGATAAGCTCCGCTCGACAAAGTCAATAGCGGAGTTAAAAACTGTATCATAATCTCTTAAAATCTAAATAAAATTTTATTGTACAAATAAAGGATATTTCATTGGATAAATTCTATCTTTCGGTATATCACCTATTGCTAAAATTCGTGTGCCTGAAACGGAAAATAGAAATGTACATTTCAAATTAAAATTGAAGACTAAATAATAAAACCGATTTGCATGTGTCATCAAATAGTTAACAAGCTAAAGCAGTACTCCCACCACACACTGTAATCATGACAGTGTTCATCAAAACTGGGATGGTGTACTTAACATATAACTGATTGGATTATAAAATGGTGCTCAGTGCAAGAAAAAGATCAACATGGACATCAAACATAGATGATATAAATGTGACGGTTTCAATCCCAAATTCATTAATTTGTTATAATTTCCAACAATGTTTATCAAAGTGCTTCAAAATTACTTCAGAGTAGTTACAAATCAATGATATTAATCTTTTTTGTTCACTCATTTTCTAGTCCAATCAAATTTCACAAATAATTCAGTAGTTTAAAAAATGATGTAGATGATGTCATTAGCAAACAACGCTTCTGTTTAGTTGACTGTCATGAAGAAGGCCATCAACAGATATTACAAGTGTGTATCAGTGATTCACGTTTCTACACACAAAACAACTATCCACAACATACCCTCCACTACCACTGACTCAATCTCGACAAGTTTTCAGAAAGTATTATTATTAAATATAGGAAACTCACAGACAAACAATGAAATCAGGCAAGACTCACCATAACTAACGATCATTTTGCTGGTTTCCCTGAATAAGAGAATACCATTCGGTGATGACACGTCAAACTGTAGTCGTTGTGTTCGATTCTGCACAAGCTCTGCCATAAGTTTTAGCACTGGTGTTGTCACACATGGGTCATGGTACCACAACTCTAATGCAAGTAATAGTATTGGTGTGTACGTAGGATAGCTAACAATCAATCAATAAATCAAGGAATATAACTGTCTGATGTTTTGGGGATTACTTTGTTTGATGTGTCAGAATACATACTGTTACCTGATCACCCTGGTGTATAGATATGCAACTTTAGCATTTATCACTCACTACAACGCAGATGTTATGTCTACTTATTTGACAATCGTCAGTAATACGCAATTCTGCCAATATATTTTTGAAAA